AATTGTACTGAGTTGCTACTTAGCAAATTCGAGGAAAGCAGAGGAGAGTTAGGTGGAGATGCAAATGCAGATTGGTCTGACCTTCATTTATCCCTTAACAGTTCAGCAAATATTTAACATGGGATTGGAAAATTCCCAGACATCGTTCAGGTTACCCTGGTTACAACATACTTGGCCATAATAGCAAACTCCAGGGTCTACAGGACCAAATTTTCCAAGCAATGTTGACCTCTCCATCACTAGTACAAAATTATTAGTGGTCCTCCACTTTGGTGGCACTAGGGTTAGCCACAAATCCTGATTTTTTTGCAGTAGCATCAATGCTATGGAATTGTCTGCCTGTTTATATCCTTATCTGCTCTTATTTTGTTAGGCATTGTGGGAAGTCAGCCCCCCAGAGAAGGATCTTGAAGAGACAGAAAAGCATGTCCAGTTTTTCTTAATAGCCCCAGGTCTCCCTCCCCCAAGCAGAAGCTAGCTCTGTACAAATGCAGATGTAAACCATCAGGAAGGTTGAAGCTAGGAAATTAAGAAGACAAAGACACCTAAAATCTGCATACCTCACCCAAACTCTAGGAGTCATTAGCCCCAGCACCAGGGAAGCAGGATATGACCTTTGGGACATAATAGGATTAACCCATCATCATCAGAATACCAGAAAAGCACACTCAGACTCAGGTCAAAGTTCATGCCACAGGAACAGGAAACAACTCAAAACAAAAGCCTCCAGAGGGTATAAAAACCCACTCCCTACATGTGCTCAGCCCTTTTTTTCTCTCTTTTCTGCCAGACCCATCTTTCTGTCTGGCTCTCCTCTTCAATAAACTGCAACCTTCTTTCTAAAGCAGTCGCTATGTTGTTTATCCCCGGCTTGGACTGACCTACGATGAAGACTTTTCTTCCAACAGCATCAAAAAATTCCTCAAAACCTAATGCTTTAAGAGGGCTTTTGAATTACAGATGTCACCACTTGCTTGTGTGGTCTATTGACACTGTTTTACAATTTCTTTCCTGTCATTTTATTTGGGACGATTATTTATTCTTATGTAATTTTGCTTGCATCACTGATATTTTATCATTCTGATTATAACCCTTTGAGAATCTCTTGGCTGCGGCAAGTGAAAAATTGCCAGAATGAATAAGTAAGTAAATGTTTGGAAAGATTAAGTATTTTGTTCTCATCTAAGTTTACAGCTTCCTAGCAAATGGTCAAAGGATAATCCTTCAGGATATATTTTCATACTTGGCAATATACCCAGAGACAGGGAATCTTTTAAGTTTTTCTTTTCTCCTCTCTCTTTACATATATCTATATTTACTGGAGGTAGGGAGGGAGGGCGGGAAGGAGGAAGGAAGGAAGGAAGGAAGGAAGGAAGGAAGGAAGGAAGGAAGGAAGGAAGGAAGGAAGGAAGGAAGGGAGGGAGGGAGGGAGGGAGGGAGGGAAGGTACTGCAGAGCTACAGGGATGTTTTCTCTCCAAGATTAAACACCGAAACACCATATACTTTATCTTGAAAATAGCAAACGCTAACGCCAAAAATATAATTCTTTCAGAACTGCTGAAAACCAGAAAGAACATGGAGAAAGAAGAATTTGACAATAACAATCTTGGAGCAAACCTAAGCAAAGCAAAGATCTTTGCTCCTTAGCCTACAGGTTGCAGATTGCTGTAGTGAGACACAGCAGGAGGTATTTCAGGTTGAACAGAGAGAGAGAACAGGCTGAACAATATTTCTGCCTGATTTCACAGACACCTTCACAGCCAGAACTTCTAAACTGATACTAAAGAATTGGGAGTGTTACTACACAGGTAGTCCTTGACTTACAACAGTTTGTTCAGGGACCGTTCAAAGTTTATTTTTATCCTGTGACTGTAGGATGCCGCAATGATCATAAGTGTGAGAAAAGGTCATCAGTCACTTTTTTGGTGCCACTGTAACATCAAACAATCACTAAATGAATGGTTGTAAGTCGAGGACCACCTATACAAATCACACACTCTCTTACAACCCGCTTTTCTTCTCTTGCTCCACACAAATTATTCAGCAGTTTTGATCATATTGCACAGTTTGTTTCGATGCTCCCAGTCGCCGGGAGGAATGTGAAATTTTGCTGACTTCTAAGTTTCCTCACCAAATACTAGTATGTTGTCACCAACCACGTGCATGAGATTTCAACAATCATTTTCAAGTAACTTCTCCTATGTTAACTCAGAAAGCTCAGATTGCCCAAGGAGCTGCTGATACAGTTCTGCAGAGGAATTAATGAGTCTGTCATTTGTACCTCAATAACTGTTTGGTTTGGCACAGCAACCAAACAGGACAGATAGACTTCAATGGATACTGTATACTGCACGAACCAGAAAGAGGGCTGAGAAAATATCTATAGACCCCTCAATCTTGGAATATAATCTGTTTCAACTGCTCCCCTCAGGACGTAGTCATTATAGGGTACTGAATGCCAAAACAACTAGACACAAAAATAGTTTTCCCCCCCTTGGCATCACTCTGCTGAACACCTAATTCCCACATCACTGTCTTAGGCCTAAGAAATTTACCCATGTAGTAGGCTGTATTGCTATTATCCATCTTCCTCTTTTCTCATCCTTCCTACTATCGTCTCCTATTCGTATCTTATAATTTATCACTTGTTGTTTGTATCTTATGATTAATGATTGTAACTTTGGTTAATAATCTATGGCCTATCACTTTGTTGTTGTAGGTAAGGTACACTGAGATGCGCTAGAGCAGGGGTAGGCAACCTTGGCTCTTTTATGACCCGTGGACTTCAACTCCCAGAATTCCTGAGCCAGCCATGCTGAGGAGAAAGGGAGATGTTTCCAAGCTGAGCCATGCTGGCTGAGGAATTCTGGGAGTTGAAGTCCACGAGTCATAAAAGAGCCAAGGTTGCCTACCCCTGCGCTAAAGACAAATTCCTTATCTGTACAATCACACTAGGCCGGGAGTCTTCAAACTTGGCCCTTTTATGACTTGTGGACTTCAACTCCCAGAATTCCTCAGCCAGGCACGCTGGCTGAAGAATTCTGGGAGTTGAAGTCCACAAGTCATAAAAGGGCCAAGTTTGAAGACCCCTGCAGTAGGCCAATAAAGAATTCAATTCAATAAGTGCCATAAAAACTTTGGGAGGGGAGAGGTTGCTAGTGAATCCAGAGGGACAGAGAATTTTTATTCGATGTCTGATGTTACATGATTTGGGGCATTTTTCTACTCTTGTGAGGAACACACCACTCTCAAAAGTAATGTGTGTGTGCCAGCTCTTTTCTCCACTGTGAAGTTTGCAAGAATTGGTGCAATTGGTCCTTCAGGGCAAACTTTCATTTGCTCTTTCCCTCTCCTTGAACTCCACACAAATAAACAAGCACATCACATTAAATAATCATTTGGCATCCGATGATCAGTTTTGGCAACAAGGCCTCAAGCCCAGTCAGGATTTTCTTTTTTTAGTTAATATTTGGCCGAGGCTTATGCATGTCACTCCACACCAGTGCAATAAGATCTCTCTCCCGGTTGGCCCAGATCCATGCAGATTGTGGTCACTGCCATGTCCAGCCCCTGACACACCTCTCTCGGCCTGCCCACTTGTGCCACAAACTGTGTCAAACTTCTATCACAGGGCATTTTCAGTAGGAGTGGCCCCGATTTGCAAACCGTCCTTTGCTCCACTGTTGATCAAAAGGTTTAAGGTTTTGGAAACCACCGTGGTGGCCTTGCAACGTTGGTCTCGTTTTGCAGGGGAGGGAGGGAGGCAAACCAAAACCACCATTTAACCATGGTTCGGACCTCCCGGGTAATTGCTGCAACGGGGGCGCAAATGCAGCTCTGAACATTTGCAAGATTGTGATAGTCCGTGACGTCACAGAAACAAAAAGAGACAAGAGAGAAAGACGCGCTGGACGTAAACAAAAAAACTGAATCTCAGCAGCAGGAGGACAGGGTTTAAAATAAAATTCAAATAGGCTTATTTGAATTTTTGTTCTCCTGCACAACTCTACAGAAAGCTTTCGGATGGTCTTGATGCAAAAAGGACTGGAGCTCATCGCAGGCAGCCAAACTTGAGTATGCAATTAAAAAAAAAACATTCGAGAGAAACGACCCAACTGTCCTCTTTGCAGTCACCTTTGCACCGTTACAAGTCCCGTGTGCAAGTCGGGGCTCTGCTTTCCTCGCCCCCCCCAAAACAAGATCGCCGAAATTCCCAGGGCCCGTCGTCGCCTTCCCGTTTCCCACCGTGCAAACAGCAATATCCAGATTAATAGCCACCTTTTGCAACCCTCCCGCCGACCGTTTCTATGGCAAAGCTCGGTGCTTGCACACACAATAGGACGTTCCCCGGGTCCCCGCATGCATTATGTAAACAACAACACCACAAGGAGAGCTTTAGCCCCAGCCTTGCTTAAAAGTGCATCCCCGCCCCCCCCCCCAAAAAACACCCCCGAAGCAACCGGGCATGGGGAAAGCAGTGTGCATTTTGCTATTTCCTTCTTCCAGAAAAAGGAAGGTTTATTTCGTGCAAAATAAAAGCCACGGCCCTGCAGGAAGGCTTCCAACCCCCCCAAGGCTTCCGAAACTGAACGGCGGCATAGATGCATCAACGGTTTTGCAAACGGCCTCTAGGCGCGTCCGGATGCCGAGGGGGCAAAACACAGGCCCGAACCAGAAAGTGCATTTAAGGCTGAGAACGTCAAGACGGAGCAATTGCAAAAGACGCGTCCCCGGATTGCATTTCGGCAGAGCAAAAAACATCCTGTATTATTACAGTCATCTGCAAAAACTAAGCAAAACCAAGGCAAATTGGTTGGGGATTTTCTTTTTAAAATAAATGTTTCTATGGGTAGCGAAGCAATACAAAGGAAGTTACGCGGCAGAAAAGCCAACAACGACCCGCTTTACGCGAATTGTTTCGGAGAGCTCCAACTTGGAAACACCCCCCCCCAAAAAAGTCCCAACACAACAGCCTTTTTGTATGCCCAGCAATGCTCACCTTCTCCCCTGCAAAGCTGTAAAAATCTCCGCTGCAACCGGCCGGCATTCGGGCCATTAAAAAGGCATGATCGTGGCTCCCACCAAGGCCGAAGCTGGCTTGTTTCTTTGTTAGTTTCTTGCTTGCTCCATCTTAGAGACGGGGGAAAGAGAGGAGGAGGCGGCGGCGGCGGGGGGGCTCATTTCGCCATGGGGGGTGTGGGTGGAAGGGGGCCGCTTCGTTGTCGTTTGGGGCGGGTGGAGGGAGTTAAGGATCGCGATTCCTTTTGGGGGGGGGTTGGGAAAGACGAAGTGGGGGAGGGGGTCCCCCCCGGCCGAATTGCAAAGCAGCGGCTCTTCCTAGGCTTGCAATTGCAGCTCCCGCCGCCGCTGCCGCCGCCTGGGAGCGCGAGCAAAGTGGGAGCAAAAAGAAAAAAGGGGGAGAAAAAAAAAAAGAGGGGAGGGGAAAAAGGGGGGGAAAGCAAAAAAAAAAAAAAAAAAAAAGTGACAGAGAGAGCGGAGCGCAGAGCAAGCCGCTTCCCGGGGGGGAGCAGGGGAGGGAAAGAAGAGCCGGCAGCGGGCGGCTCAGCCTCCTCCCCCCGCCGGGAGCTCTTGCTGCTGCTGCTGCTCCTCCTCCTGCGCGCCGAGCGAGCGAGCGGGGGAGGGGAGAGGAAAGCTGGCGCGCGGCCGAGAGGCGGGAGCGCGCGCGTTTACGTACTTTCCTATCCGGCCGCCTGGAGGAGGCGCGCGGCCGCGGCCACGAGCCAAAGCTCCCGCGCTGCACCGCACCGTACCAGCCCTCGGCTTGGCTTTTGGGGCGCGCGGAGGGACTGCATGGAAGAAAGGAGAATATTTAATAGCTCAGGTCCTAAAAGTGCTTTTTCCAAGAGGCAACTGGACTTTCTCTGGTTTTTTTTCCCTTGAAGACGTTTCCCTTCTCATCCAAGAAGCTTCTTCAGTTCTGTTCAGGAAGAAGAAGATGTTTCGCTTCTCTTGAGGAAGAAGACTTTTCCCTTTTCATCCAAGAATCTTCTTCAGTTCTGTGGAGGAGGAGGAAGATGTTTTGCTTCTCTTGAGGAAGAAGACGTTTCCCTTCTCATCCAAGAATCTTCTTCAGTTCTGTGGAGGAGGAGGAAGATGTTTTGCTTCTCTTGAGGAAGAAGACGTTTCCCATCTCATCCAAGAAGCTTCTTCAGTTCTGTGGAGGAGGAAGAAGATGTTTTGCTTCTCTTGAGGAAGAAGACATTTCCCATCTCATCCAAGAAGCTTCTTCAGTTCTGTGGAGGAGGAAGAAGATGTTTTGCTTCTCTTGAGGAAGAAGATGTTTTGCTTCTCTTGAGGAAGAAGACATTTCCCATCTCATCCAAGAAGCTTCTTCAGTTCTGTGGAGGAGGAAGAAGATGTTTTGCTTCTCTTGAGGAAGAAGATGTTTTGCTTCTCTTGAGGAAGAAGATGTTTTGCTTCTCTTGAGGAAGAAGACATTTCCCATCTCATCCAAGAAGCTTCTTCAGTTCTGTGGAGGAGGAGGAAGATGTTTCGCTTCTCTTGAGGAAAAAGACGTTTCCCTTCTCATCCAAGAAGCTTCTTCAGTTCTGTGGAGCAGGAAGAAGATATTTCGCTTCTCTTGAGGAAGAAGATGTTTCCCGTCTCATCCAAGAAGCTTCTTCAGTTCTGTGGAGGAGGAAGAAGATGTTTTGCTTCTCTTGAGGAAGAAGACGTTTCCCGTCTCATCCAAGAAGCTTCTTCAGTTCTGTTCAGGAAGAAGAAGAAGATGTTTCACTTCTCTTGAGGAAGAAGACGTTTCCCGTCTCATCCAAGAAGCTTCTTCAGTTCTGTTGAGGAGAAAGAAGAAGATATTTCGCTTCTCTTGAGGAAGAAGACGTTTCTTTTCTCATCCAAGAAGCTTCTTCAGTTCTATTCAGGAGAAAGAAGATGTTTCGCTTCTCTTGAGGAAGAAGACGTTTCCCTTCTCATCCAAGAAGCTTCTTCAGTTCTGTGGAGGAGGAAGAAGATGTTTCGCTTCTCTTGAGGAAGAAGACATTTCCCTTCTCATCCAAGAAGCTTCTTCAGTTCTGTGGAGGAGGAAGATGTTTCACTTCTCTTGAGGAAGAAGACGTTTCCCTTCTCATCCAAGAAGCTTCTTCAGTTCTGTGGAGGAGGAAGAAAATGTTTTGCTTCTCTTGAGGAAGAAGACGTTTCCCTTCTCATCCAAGAAGCTTCTTCAGTTCTGTGGAGCAGGAAGAAAATGTTTTGCTTCTCTTGAGGAAGAAGACATTTCCCTTCTCATCCAAGAAGCTTCTTCAGTTCTGTGGAGGAAGAAGAAGATGTTTCGCTTCCCTTGAGGAAGAAGATGTTTCCCTTCTAATCCAAGAAGCTTCTTCAGTTTTGTTCAGGAGGAAGAATATGTTTCACTTCTCTTGAGGAAGAAGACATTTCCCTTCTCATCCAAGAAGCTTCTTCAGTTCTGTTCAGGAGGAAGAAGACATTTTGCTTCTCTTGAGGAAGAAGACATTTTCCTTCTCATCCAAGAAGCTTCTTCAGTTCTGTGGAAGAGGAAGAAGATGTTTCGCCTCTCTTGAGGAAGAAGTCGTTTTCCTTCTCATCCAAGAAGCTTCTTCAGTTCTGTGGAGGAGGAGGAAGATGTTTCACTTCTCTTGAGGAAGAAGACATTTCCCTTCTCATCCCAGATGGCTGGATGGTGGAGGGTGGAATGGAAGGATTACCGTAGTTCTGAAAGAATAGTTCTGCTAAAGACCAATGTCTCTATAATATATTGAATAGACCAAGTTCTTACGTTGAATGCAGATAATTCCGTTCTGATCCAGTCAAAAAACACATGCATGTATAATTAACATTTATACATAATGTAAATGACAAGCAGAGGTGTAAGACACTCTGATTCACAAACTGAACAGATGAGATTATCTTTGCATTGCAGAAAAATCCAAAGGCAACCCATGTTTTTACATGTGTTCTTACATTTCAGACATGTTAAATCAGATAGGAAAAATAATTCATTGCATAAGAACATGAGTTCAGTTCATACATCTAATCAAAGCACTCAGAGAGAAGAGACTACAGGTAGTTCTCGACTTACAGTTGAGACCAAAATTTATGTCGCGAAGTGAGACATTTGTTAAGTGAGCTTTGCCCCATTTTATGACCTTTCTTGCTACAGTTGTTAAGTGAATCACTGCAGTTGTTATGTTTTTGGCACGGTTGTTAAGTGAATCTGAGTTCCCCACTGACTTTGCTTGTGGAAGGTCATAAAAGGTGATCCCGTGATCCCAGGACAATGCAAACGTCATAAATATGAGTCAGTTGCCAAGTGTCTGAATTTTGATCACGTAACCATGAGGATGCTACAATGGTCATGTGTGAAAAATGGTCATTAGTCACTTTTATCAGTGATGTAACTTTGAACAGTCACTAAATGAACTGTTGTAAGTCAAGGACTACCTGCACTTGGAACCAATGAGTAGAAATCGGTCAAGGGATTGCATGATATTTATTGGGAAGAGAATTCAGATTGTCCATTGTTCCATTTTTAAACCCTTTGTGTTGAAAAGACCCTTGTTTAGGGGAGAAGAAAAAAAAAGCATTGACCCTTGACTTTTTGGCACAGTAAAATAAGATAATAACATACAACCTCAGCTTCTCACTTTTACATAATAAGATATACTAGCCATCTCTATAACAACAAACCTATCTAATCAGCAAAACCCAAAATCAAAGTTCCTTTTTTTTCTACCTCCAGCACAAACTCCAAAAGTGGTTTCTAAAATGAAACTAAATTAATTGCATTTTTTAATCCAAGTAGTCAATTTAGCCATTTCTTTTTTTTTCTCCCCTTTACCCTACACTTCTTCCTCTCCCACTTTTCTTCCCCTATTTTCATTTTTCTTTGTACCTTTGTATATTAGATTTTGATAAATGAATATTGTATGTATATTGTACGTATATTGTATGTATGTGTGTGTGTATATGTGTGTGTGTTTGTGTGTGTGTATGTATGTATGTATATGTATGTATTCATTTATCAAAATATATAAATTGTAAATATTATATATTTAGAACCTTCCGGTGGGACCTGAATGAACAAACGAGGCCCTTCGCATAGAGATAGATAGATAGATAGATAGATAGATAGATAGATAGATAGATAGATAGATAGATAGATAGATAGATAGATAGATAGATAGATAGATGAGAGAGAGAGAGAGAGAGAGATGATAGATAGATAGATAGATAGATAGATAGATAGATAGATAGATAGATAGATAGATAGATAGATAGATAGATAGAAGATAGATGATAGATAGGATAGATAGGTAGATAGGTAGATAGATGATAGGTAGATTATAGGTAGTAGATAGATAGATAGATAGATAGATAGATAGATAGATAGATAGATAGATAGATAGATAGATAGATAGATAGATAGATAGATAGAAGATAGATAGATAGATAGATAGATAGAAGATAGATAATAGGATAGATAGATAGATAGATAGATAGATAGATAGATAGATAGATAGATAGATAGATAGATAGATAGATAGATGATAGGATAGATAGATAGGTAGGTAGGTAGGTAGGTAAGTAGATGATAGGTAGATAGATAGATAGATAGATAGATAGATAGATAGATAGAAGATAAATGATAGGATAGATAGATAGATAGATAGATAGATAGATAGATAGAAGATAGATGATAGGATAGATAGATAGATAGATAGATAGATAGATAGACAGAAGATAGATGATAGGATAGATAGATAGATAGGTAGGTAGGTAGGTAGATAGGTAGATAGATGATAGGTAGATAGATATAGATAGATAGATAGATAGATAGATAGATAGATAGATAGATAGATAGAAGATAGATGATAGGATAGATAGATAGATAGATAGATAGATAGATAGATAGAAGATAGATGATAAGATAGATAGATAGATAGATAGATAGATAGATAGACAGAAGATAGATGATAGGATAGATAGATAGATAGGTAGGTAGGTAGGTAGATAGGTAGATAGATGATAGGTAGATAGATAGATAGATAGATAGATAGATAGATAGATAGATAGATAGATAGATAGATAGATAGATAGATAGATAGATAGATGAGAGAGAGAGAGAGGCTTTTTTTCTCACAGAATGCCCAGAACGGAG